ATTGATGGTGGAGATTTTCGTTAGTTTGACTGCAAACGAACGAAGATGGCTAAGTGCAACCGATACGTATGAGTGGATTCGACTGGGGAGGACTTGACTGGATTCTTGGTTGTTCAAGATTTCAAAATGACCAGCGAATCGATCGCGGTTTTTAATCGAAGACGAATGGTTAGGGTTGGTGCGGTCGTCACAAACCACAAACTGTCCTCTTGAGGCAGATATAAGGTTGTCAAACCACAACGCAAAACAATTCGCAGATGGACCAATCAAATTACTCACATGCCAGTCCTCGAAAGACGAGTCACATTGAGAAATCTGTTTAAACGCGAGCAGAACTGGGACAATCGCCCACGCACCTAGTCAGTGGTTAATTGGTTAGTCAGGGTCAAATAATTGTTCACGTTCAGGTCAAAAGCAAGAAGAGATAGGGACAGAAAATGGAGAAGCTAAAACGGCAAGTCCCGTTGCGCACCATAATAATGAAAGAAAAGAATCGATACCCATAACCTATCTGCGTCAAATTAATTATTTGGGATGACTTGCAAATCAGTCATTCAAACGTGATACGTTGTCAGCGTAGCGTGTTCCCATTGGCAGCAGAATGACGCAACGTAGTGCTGCAACCATGCGGGTGGGCCTCAAGCTCAAAAACAAACTATCCGATCCAGATTAACTCTTCTAAACAGTAGACCACATTCCGTCACTGATTGGTATTTCGGCTGAAAGCCTTATGAATTCATCTACGCAATCACATGAGAACGCAACAATGTGAGGCTGCAATCAGGGGCTGGCTAATTCAGACTCCGGTGTTTTCAGGTCGAACATAACGGTCTGGTACACCTCATCATCTTTTCCGCCAAAGTTGATCAGTATTCCGCCACAATTATAACCTCTAGAAGATCAACAGATTCAACTGTACCTGCGTCCTATCAGAACCGCGATATTCGTACACAGCCAGACAGTCGATATAGAAAATACCGTGTTAAAAACAGATCGGGATTAAAACAGTGTTGTTTCCTATGGAACATCAATAGTTTGAGAGCCATGTTCACTTTACTCCCAAGTTCAGCAAATTGTCATTGGAGTTGACTTAGGTAAGTGAAAACTGCAATCCTGGACACCCAGTATTTGGGGAGCACAAATGAACTCACTTCATCAGTGCATCTGGACGATTGGTCGTGTCATCTGACCAACGAAGCCCTCATAACAATTTGTTTGGACAACTAGGCGCTGTATAATTTTCACACACCAGCACGAAACATTTGAATGGACTGAGATGTCGAAAGTGGTTTATTGGTGGACAGGCGTCACCTTTTAGCAAGCTTGTGACAGTGTCCGCTTCAAACGTTGGTACCGAAAGCTCGAAATGACAGAGATATGTTGGCTATGGTATTCGGATACAGAAGTAAAGAATACACAAAATAAAATAAAAAAGACTAACACTGAGTGGTAGTCTTACACGCCAGTGTCCCAGCTATCGCGCTGGGCCAGTGACCCGGTTCTTGGACATCCACCTGCAGTGCGTGCAGCTGGCCAATAGAGAAGAGTTGCGTGCGACCAAATTATTCCCGTCGGCTGTGAAACGAAGTTTGATAGCTGATGAAAAGAAAAACGTACCACACAAGCCTACGAATTGGGAGCGAAACGCCAGAGCGATTAACGGAATCTCAGTTTTGTTGCAGATAAAAGAATTCCTGTCTAATTTTCGTGTCACCAGCTTCACTCAAACCAAAGTAACCCATTGTAACGACCACCAAATGCCTCTAACCTAAGCTAGACAATTAGACGCGCATGTGTATTGTATCGATCCTTCTTATTTCTCCCTTACGTCATTGGTCCACGTGTTGTATTGATTGTTCTATAATTTGACTGATTTTCGCTCACTAAGAGGAACTAAATTTAGGAGTTAGTTCCAAACTGAATTTGGGGGACATAAGAGTTCAGGCACTTAGAGTTATATTGAGGACGGTGAAAGTTGCTCGGCAAGTAGACTGAAAGGAACAACCCCTCGTTTCGATCACGGAGACCACTTTTTTTGAAGAAATCATGACTGGGATTTCTAACTGGTCGTGATGACGTCTGACGGCTATACAACAAGAGAATAGCGCCAACCACTGTCCCCTGATCCCTCACAAATTTGCTAAATCAGATGTTATGAAATTTGAAATGTCACTAGAACTCTGTCAGTTTTCTCGAACATTCAATACAATGAAAGATTATTCTGGACGGATGATAACAGAGTATCTGGCTCGGACACATGTTGACTGCGTTGTCGATTGGCTCTAAGGTTAAGGACAAACTACGAACGAAAATGCATCTTTGAAGTGGAAGCAACTATTTTGATGATCTTTTAGCGAAGCCGAAGTGAGGCAGGGAGATCAGCGCTATCTGTACTTAAGCAAGACCACTCAAGTGCCAACAAATCTAAGGACTGGGTAATTTCAAGATTTCTGAAGTTAAGAGAAGGTGAAAGAACGCTAACGCTTGTCATATTCAGTTATCCTGATACACCTATTCATTGCAAGAGGGAGAGGCTTCAATTTAACAATTTTTGAAGATCGCATTAGGTTCTAAAACTCCAATGAAAACTGAGTGTATCCTACAGGTCTGAGTAACGACTGCTCACTTTAGATCATTCTGCTTTGAAGAACAAGTACGGTTTGATGAGCCCCAAGAAGGGCGAAACCGGTCATGGACTGTCGAAGATTTTCAGCAAACTCATGAGTAGTGTATTACGCCTACACAAGTACAGCAGGGTCGATACACACATAAACACGATTTTTGATAGTATTAGAAACTACTTTTTAGCTAAATATTACCATTTGGAGGGATCTGATTTTGACTGAGTAACAGCTTCTTAATAAGAGCCCACCCTGTTTGTCTGATCATTTGTTTACCAAGTGGCAATATACGTACTTGTACCAAAATTAATAACCTTCACCCGACAGCGCGCACTATTTTATTTTATTTCAAGATGTCAGTTTCGTATTGAAACTTGAGTAGTCCCTGTTTCACCTTGGATGCCGCTTCGGTTCTGTTGTTGTTCTGCGTTCTGGAAGGAATCTAAGTGTAGAGGGACGAAATTTCTGGTCGGATAGAATCTCATGACAGGATAAAAGTTAAACCACACTAATCGAGGTTCAAATGTTAAGTGAGAGAGATGAATTGTCTGCTGAAGCTGTCATAATACTTGCTGGTTTTCAGTAGTGACTGTCTGTATGGTACTCGACAGCTTCACAATCTGTGTTTTATGCTTCATTGACAAACAGAGGCTGTCCAGCACTCATCCCAAAGACTCATTAATTGGTTCTTTAGTGATTTCATTAGGCCATCACGCAACAAGAGAGATCTAGTTAGTTCAGCTGTTAACGGCTTTTGTACGTTGCAGCACCATTCTGCTCGACCTGTCAGTAACTGGGTCAGCGTGCACGTCAAATATTACATGACTTACACATGATTACAGCTGTAAAAAGCGGGTTGCTCAAGCTTCAAGGTCATGCGTCTGCTCTGGTATCAAACCAGTAGGCTCTAAAGGGCAACCAAACCGATGGGGATTTTTAGATCGAAGTGTGGATGACTGGCAAACCGTGGATCTTCTCCACTCGAAAGTGGTGTCCTCCAGTTCTGGTCGGTTTGAAGTCATGTGATGATGATTATGATCATTGACGGTGGGGCTGGAATCGTTGGGTGCTCTGCTGAATGCCTTAAGTGGTTAGCGTGGGTGTCAACACCAACCAGATGACTGAGTGCACTAGGTCATCGTGGTTGGCGTGCTACAGAGTCCGTTAATTGAAGAAGACTCGAAGGATAGATATTGCCAATGCCAAGTCACACCAAAGCGCACAGAGTTAGAAAGTCTGCTCCTCGCCTCTCCACGTCGGTCCCTAGGATTAACCACACAGCTCCCTCTGCCATCCCCAAAAGCAGTACTTCGTTACGATGTTCTGGCATATTCCTCTCTGGATGGTACTCATCAATCACTTTTGCGATTAATCGAGTTCCGATGTCTACTAGAGCGGTGATTCTTCACAGCAATCGAAATGCATGGGTCAAACCAATTACGACATCTTTTTCAAAACTTCATTGCTGAAGCCATGGCGATGTTGTCAATAATGGAAGCAGAGGCAACATGGACGAGAATTTCGCACACACATTTAAAGTGGAATGGCTAATTTTGGGGGAATAAACAAACCCAAGGAGATGATATATTGGGACCGAAGTCATCAAGCCTCGGACTATGGTGGTAGTTGCCGCAGCTCGTGCGTCCGGTCTCTAAAGGCGCTCAGTGAATCCTCCTCAAGGTTCTAGATCTATTTTTTCCTCGAAATGTGGGCAACTACCCCTAGGTGGTTGGGGGTAGGCCAGTCGTCCCAGTGCACCCCCGTGAAGTCATTCATGGTCAAAGTCTGACAACTTGAAGGAGTCGTTGCTTCCTCTTTGCGGGGTGAACTGGATGGAGGTTTACTGCTGAGGCCTGTTGAAGAGAATTCATCCCGGTCTTACCGTTGAAAACCGCTTACTTTAAGGGACCATTTTCAAGCTTACTCATAAAAATGTTGGCTAGCCTCGGGCCATCAATTGGACTGTAGAGCGTGCCATTGAACAATAGTTGCACATTCCGTGTGCACCGCACGAGAAGCTTTCGCAATTTGCTGATTGGAATTGGTAACCGAAAGTTATTTGCTTCAGAGTAATTGTAGTTTCAGTCAAAGGGACGTAAGTAAACAGTGAAGTCACACCGAGTGAATACATAAACAAACCTTGTATTTCAAGGTCATTTCTTGACTCCATGGATTGGAATGTATCAATCAAACTGTGCTGACATATTTGTGAGCGTAGTATTTCAACGATTTTTTGATGAGCAGAAGTGTAACCGACTACAATAGATTAGTAGTTTGAAACGAAGCATTCAAAATCTGCCTGTGATCTTCCATCGATGCTTCCCACTTGTCTTCCCTCCCTGAAGCTGTTATTTCAATTCTTTGGAGTTTTGACTTCAGATCGATAGATATTCACTTTTTGGCTTTCCAACTTCCCCCATTTCGTCACAGTGGAACGTGTGATTATGGACGAGTAGGATGCGATGGATACCGGTGGTTAAATATGCAATCACGAGATGACTCATCAGACATTCTACTGAACCTATCCACGGAAGAGCTGCCGCAGTTCTGTCCAGCTGGACTGTGTGCATGGATCCCATGGTTAAATATGCAATCACGAGATGACTCATCAGACATTCTACTGAACCTATCCACGGAAGAGCTGCCGCAGTTCTGTCCAGCTGGACTGTGTGCTTCTAAGATACTGCTCATAGTGCACACAAAAGTTTGTCTTTCACACATTTCGATCCTGCTTATCGTCACCTATCCAGCTTTTTCACTAGCACGTAACTGAAGGTAGTTGAGCGACACGATCTAACCGGATTTTGTAGAAATATGGTTCTCTGAAAAAACCTTACACAGATTTCCAACCATTGGCGTGGTCGATCGGACGGGGATCTGTTGTGGACCACATTTTTCCTAATGCCTTCTTAATACCGTGAACATGAGTCTGGATAACCGCTTGATAGCCTGATGCGCTTAACCAAACTAGGAAAACCAATGAACGTGCGAATCGGCTGATCTATTGATCGCTGACGCGTACAGGCGTATCATGTGCAGCCGAAGGCGTGCTGCTTATAAAGCTCACGTGGAAAGTTCTAGGAGGGCCAAAAAGTGATACTAAAGTAGAACTCATTTGTCAAGGACAAATGAAGAACAACGAATTGAATCTGTCTCAGCGAAAACGGCTATTCCATTGGCAGTTGCGTAGTCCAGTTACGTTCGGACCTGGTTCTTCTTGCTGTTGAGGAAGATAAGACTTTGTCTCGGATTAACCTGAATTTGTCACCGGCATCCTTCTGCGTGTCATCCTTCATGAATGTTGATACACAGGCATTTCTTGTAGCTGCTCCACACTCTGGGTCTGTTGTACTTCCCTGTTCACACCCAGATATCCTATCAAAATGTTCAGAGACAATGCATTCTAGCTCTGAATGGGTTGTGTTTAAGCTTCTTTTAACTGATTTACATGACAAACCCACGTCAACATCATAGATGACAGTTCACATTCGGCGAGCGATTTTGCTAAGACGTCAGAATACGCGATTACCATGATAGTCCTTTCCTAACACGCTCTGTCCGATATCGAAATATAGCCACTTTGCACCACGCTTGCGATTATAGCAGGACTCCATTTCCTGATTTGATAATGCTACCTCTCCTTTGGAGGCTTCAGAAGACCAAAGGTGCTTCGAATAGTGCGGTAGAGTAGTGTCTCTGCAGGCGATTTGGAGTAAGGCGGTACAATAAGAGGAATTGTTGTAGAATGTTTGCTGTGGTTCCTTCCCCTTCCGCCTTAAGCAAAGCTCTTTTGAACGCGTCCACTTGGGGACACCCGAATGGACTAGCACAGTCCAGTTACGTTCGGAGTTGGCTCTCCCAATAGGATCGAAGCCAGTAGTGGTCGCTACACTGCACATGACTGACCTACTGCTGTCCGGTCGTGGCAACCTTGTAGATTACGGTAATTGGTGCATGACGGGCAGGTCCAAATCACTCCCCGATCGATCACACACACACACACTTCCTCTTGTCATGCAACCTAACCGCAGATTTCTATTTACGGTTACACCATTGCAAGACAGAAAGCCAATATGCTGAAAACAGAATGCAGCGTTCCGCTGGAATAACAAGGAAACGTTTTGAGTTGTGTACTTTGTTGGAATAAGTTGTTTTCTTACTTTTAAGAGTGAAACTGGTAGACCAGCGCACAGCCTTGATGGGCACTGTGTGAAGCAACGGATGTGGCTAAATTATCGATAGTCCACGGAACTGACCCCTCCAGATTTACCCAGACAGCAAAATACGCGCTTGCGTATCGATCCACCTTGTTTTTACACTATACTATCGACCCAAGTTGCATTCCAATCCATTGTTGGCTGACCATATGGGAATAACTCTGTTCACGTAATCATTTCCAACTCTACTGTATTATGAATCATTGCAGACACCCAGGTCGGCTTACAAAGGATACTTATCCCGTCTGAAAGATTCAATCAAGAAACTGCACACTGACAATGTCTCCTCGACTGGGGACGAAACATTTGCAAGCCAATTGCCAAGCTCGGCGAACAGATCAACTGCCATCTGATCAACCACCAGTGAGAAATGAAAAGAGTGGTCCAGAAAGCATATATCACATTTACCCACAATTGGGGAGCGACTGTACATAGCATATCATGACTGACGGTAAGCTTTTCACACCAGGCGATTGGCGTCCAAGACTGTACATGGACACAGATGTATGCCATAAAAACTCGAAATAATCTAAATAAATTGTTTGAATATTCCTGGAAGGCGCTGCGAAAGTGGAATGTCCTGAGACCCGCCCAGTATCTGCAACACTTCCTTGTGCTCAGGAAGTCGATCAACGCGACCGAACCCAACTACCGTGGCGGGAGTGCGGTAAAACATACGGTGTAGGAAATCCTTCAGGTCTTCTGCTGTGACTTTGTCTAAAAATGGAATAAATGGATGATAATCACGCTGAGGGCTACGGTGAAATTGCGGTTTTGCACCATACTACTTGTTCGTGGTTAGTAGGACAATGATAAGTGAGCGACAATGCCAAGGTCAGTCGCCATAGAGCATCCCGAGAAATAACAAAGAAGCGTATGTTCCCATAAAAAATCACCAACCCGGCGTCCGTTCATTAAGCGTACATTATTACCGAACGACACACTGAACACAATCAATGGATGTGGCTTGACGGTGAACTATGAAACTCCGTCAATTGATTGCGACTCAATTCGTCATGGAGTAATTGTTCGAACGGCAGTTCAGAAGACAGTCAGTCACAACCAAATTTACGAAATATTCTTGTACTTCTGAAACAATTGGTGTCGAAGCGCCTTTCACACTGCAATCCCAACCCACAATAGAAGTACCGTAACCTCCTTTACAGAGAAGATGCTTTCAGTACCGGGAATTCCTCGTATTCGAGAGTAGAGGATCATAGTTTCAGCGTCAGTCCAGCTCTTCATAGCAAATATATGAACATTTTGGAGTTGAATGACCTCAGTGCACGACCTTTTATGGAATACCAGTATGCGATACGCAAGATGAACAACGAAGAATTTTCTCTACGGAGGCCTGGTGAATGTAGAAAAAGAGTAGGAAGAGGGCTAAAGAAGACATTGATCACGGGATATTTTATTTTCTGCTGCCATTAGACCTGTGGGTGAATGGGATCATCAGGTTGAAAGTGCGAACGACGCATTACAGTTCGCTCAGCTGGGAAGCTGAGTGAGACTCTGTGCTTTTGAACAAACGGATTGACGCCAAGTTTGTGGTTGCTGGGGTTAGGGCGCCACTTACTGACCGGAAGCGCCGTGGTTCATACTCAACCACAGTATCTGGTCCCCCCCGCGGGTGGCGTAGCAGTGCCGAGAGAGCGCTACATCTGAACAGCTATTATGATTATGTGAAAAAACTGGGCATGAGATTCATGCACAGGCCAGCATTCTGATTTGTTGGCTGTGCACAAATCAGGAGGTGCGCGCATTCAAATTGCGTTTGTGCATAAGCCAAGTGAGGCGCTCAGTATTCGCACAATAGAAGGGTATTTTCGAAATCTATGAGGTGTCCCTGATGAACGTAAGCAATCGGACAATTGAGTACAGAGTACCAGTTTAAACTTTTGAACCCCATTTAGGCATCCCCGGGTCTCAGCGATGCCGGGAAATTACTCCACCCGACATTCCCGCCAGAGGTATGATTGCTTCAGTGGACAATGAAATTTGGTGAGCTGCAAAAATATGAACGTAAATTAGGATGGTTTTTTGTTTGAGCACATAGCAACAAAATGCAACATTCTGGTGCAAAGGGTTTTACTCCACTCTTAAAGGTTTTGCAGCTAAGAGCATTGTGCGGCCAATGGGCCCCGCCAAGAGGAGAACGAGCCGAATGCGCCTGTTTCTTTTCCATCAAGGATGTCGTAGCTTTCGAAAATTCAATTTCATTGTGCAAATACTGGGCGCCTATCCCACAATTCAATTTATTGTGCAAATACTGGGCGCCTATCCCACTAGTCCATGGAGCCACCGTTAACGATTGGTGCAAATCTCAGCTGAGCGGCTAGGCCTCATATGCAGCAGCCGTGTGTTTGGGCACGGATCACGTGACTCGGACCAGTCAATCATTTGCTCGAGTTTGGCTTGTGCATGAATCGACTACCAATGAACTACCGGAATTAGCACCGTCTGAGGGGAAAAAGCTTATTGTTGAAAGATGCTTGCAAAAAACTGACGAATAAATTACTTTTCCTGTCCACAGCCTTTTTTACCACACGGCACCTGGGTACCTAAGAGGTGTCAGAGTTAGACTTTGCTCGGGGAAGCATGTAATGCGCTCTGTGTCAGATCGCCTACGAAGAACTGAGTACAACTGACCTTTCAGAAAAGTTTGGGTGACAGTCGGCGTATTTACTGCTCTCAGAAACACTACAAAGAGTTCTGTTCACCTTCAGGTGGCGTTTAATTGAATGCATACTACTTACAGTTGTTCAGATTTCTAGAATGTTTTATCATTTGTTGTGAAGTGCACGCTTGGGGACTTGCGAAAGGACCTTCTTGCCAAGCTGGAAGGAAGACCGTCCAAGCAGCGCAAACTATGGTAACTAGGTTTCACAATCCCACGACTCCGCCTGGTCTAAAACTCTCTCACAACCGAGTCAGTGATTTCACACAGCCATGTAAGGTGCCGAGTCGTTTTCATGTGTCACATAACCTAGTATTGTCTCTCATTACACAAAGTTTGTCCGTCGGCAGTGCACTAGTGGCCAGATGCTTGCTTCCTTGAAATATAAGCTGGAAGAAAATATTCCTTTAAGGCTTACTTGGCTCCCGAATACACATTTTTCGACCCATATGGGCTCCTTGTTTGACGTGATAAATCGCCTCTATCTAAACCAGGACTATTTGTGAAGGAAACGGATAATGCTGGGATCCGAAAAGCAATCGAATAGCACGTCCATAAAACCGCAAAATTTGTGACCTCAGTGCTCCAATAAAAGACAAATAAACCGGATAATGTTCCGAACAGTTGGGTGTCAGTGGAAGTAATCCTCTGAGCCTCCAGATTGGAATAAAGTAGTCGAAATGTTTGCAAATAGTTTTTTTGGATACATTCGAACTAGCAAGTCAATTCAAGTCGGCGTGTGAACAGAGCCCGGTCGTGATCCAATAATTTGCCAGTAGTCATCTCATTTTAACATTGAAGGACACATTGTTCCTAGATCTCACAGTTCAGTTCAAAAAAGTTCGTTTGGTGTTATGCTTGGTGAGGACCTTATGGGCAAGCCCATATGACTTTGGGAATGTCCCTTTTCGCTCCTTAACAGGTGGTTAATATTCTGATNGGCAAGCCCATATGACTTTGGGAATGTCCCTTTTCGCTCCTTAACAGGTGGTTTATATTCTGATGATAGTAAGAGATTTTTAGATTTTCATATGTCGAGTGCATAATATGAAAGAAGGCAAGTAAGTATGCGAAGGTGACGATGAGTTTTGACTTTCCAAGTGCACTAGTAATGAAACAGTGAACAAATTATTTTCTTGTAACAGTTCATTGTTTTTTGTGTTACGAATCAAACTCCACAGAACTAGGTGTGCCGACAACCCATAAAATGCTCTCTAGGAGATTAACGGTTGCTATAATCGCCTATAGCATTATCTTCGGTTAGAAAATCTCTAACCATATGGAACGCCATGTTAAGTTGAAATTGTTACCGACGTGCTCGCTATCCGAAACTTGTGCAGGTGGTCAAGTGCTGTCTCCTCCAGCGCAGCTAGTTGCTCATAGGTGAAGACAACGTGGCAGACGTTGGAGCGCTGTGGCGTCAAACTCAACAGTGCCTGGAACAATCATCGTAACGACGCTTGTTTTGTTAGACTCGCCACGTCTACCGTCTTAGGGTGGACGACCGATGCTTGTCTTGAAAGTTGGTAAAATCGAAGATTCACACATTATCCAAACGTGACGAATGAGAGTACTTGGCGAATTCAATTCAATTACAATCGAATTACACTGCAAGTGCGCACGTTTAAATTGCATTTTTATCACTTTAAGAAAAGATCGAATGCTGTGGATGAGAGCCAATTTCCAGAATGGGCCCCGCATGACTCTGCTTGTGCTTGGTTAGGGGCGTTGCAAGATACGGCACCACAACAATATCGGTGGCGTTGCTGATGTCATTTCCAGTTGAGGTCACCTGACTGAATGTCGAAAGTGTTGGTACACAAGGTGATGTCGTTTCAAGAATCCACGGAGTTGCGTTTGGATAATTGGCTCGATCACACACAAGGCACAATTAATTACTATACCAACTTACTTCCGAATAACAAGCTAACAAATCAAGCAATGTTCCCTCCCGTGAAAAGCCATCTCAAGGGACCGACCTTTCTAAAATCCACAAACGTGAATGGGCTCTGCTAAGGACAGTCTTGCCGGGAGGGACTTTGTTTCGGAACTCCGATGAAGAGTGACGCATGTAGCTAATAAGTGCTGATAAGTGCTCAGTCGGCACTCGAACGTGTTTGTAACCGTACACATGTGCTCACATTACTTTAACATTTTCCTATAGGAATAGCTCTAACTTGAATTAACAGTAAAATCCGGAGACAACTCGCGTTCACCTTAGCTGCCACCGCAACGATATACAATAGGAACCAGCGTTAGGACTACCGAATGTCAGAGATTAGGAGCACCATTGGTAGTCTCAGCAGATGACCAGATGGCTCAGTGATGAGAGCGCGAATTTACTGACCGGAAGGTCCATGGTTCAAACCCGATCTCTGCCTCTCGACTTCCCCTGTCTAGGCTTGAACAACCTGACAGTATCCCAACCCTCGTGCATCCCACGGGTGGCTAGGCACCTAGCTGAACAAGTCTCAGCAGAGGTTCAAATTCACTTATTTGCCAGATAACTGTAAGAGATGGGTACCAACAGTCTATATCGTTAATTCAAAGCAATTAACAAATAATTCAGCTGATATTTGAGGGAAACACTAGAAAACTCAAGGAATGAACAATTCTCAGGCAAGACGGAAGGCTGAATGCCACGTCACAGTTACGGAGAACAAAAGGGGTCCACTAACTGACTGTGTATTTTGACAGTAGCATGGTTACCGTTTAATTCCGCCGAGCTAGATAAACTCACCAATATTTTCAACCCAATATTCGGGTTGTGGCCGGTGACCACTTGAGAGCACCTGACGGGCAATATCTTCAAACACAACCGCACATGTTTCTAGGTTGCCCAAGAGCATTGACTTGAGCTGAGCCTTGGCCCGCGCTAGTTCGTCTTCGCCAATCGGAGCTTCAAGAGTGTGGCGCATTTCTGCAGCGAGCCTGAAGACTAGCTGTTCGAGATTTTCGGGTTCTGCACTACCCCGGATACTGAACAGACCGCTGTCTGCGTACGAGAAATTCTCTGCCTGAGCTGAGTGGACCCAGTGGTAGCTGAAAATTGAGGTGGGTCAGACAAAGGTAAGGATGAGCCGACTTTCACGATCGCCGGATTGTCAAAAACAAAAAAAA